TATATATATATATATATATTTACATATACATGTATATATATACATGTACATATACATATATACATATATACATATATATATATACATAAGTATACATATATGTGTATATGTATAAATACATATATATAAATATATATATATATATATATATATATATATATATGTGTGTATATACATATACATATATATACATATACATATATACACATATACATACATATACATATATTTATTTATATATATGTATATATATATATATATATATATATATATATATATATATGTATATATGTATATATGTATATGTATATATGTATATATGTATATATGTATATATGTATATATATATATGAAAGGAAAACAGCCACAGAAGGAAACGAAATTGAAATGTAACGTTTCAAACTCTTCACGAGTTCCTCTTCAGACAACTGAAAAACCAAAAATGTTTTTTCAGTTGTCTGAAGAGGAACTCGTGAAGAGTCCGAAACGTTACATTTCAATTTAGTTTCTTACTGTGGCTGTTTTCCTTTCATATATGTATATACGTATATGTATATATATATGTATATATATGTATATATATATATGTATATATGTATGTATATATATATATATATACACACATAAAAATAACACGTACTGCAGACAGATAGATGTTGATTTTACATGCTTAACTTTCTACTTTGGTAATAAAATAAAACTTTAACTTAGCAGATTTAGTCAAACTAGGCTTGCACTTACCTTGTGAACAACCTTCCTCATCAGAATAGTCTGGACAGTTATTGCGGCCATCACATCGTGCTTGTAGCGGAATGCAAGTTCCATCACTACATCTCCATTCCCCAGAAGTGCATGCTATTTAGAAGCAAACAGTATACATGCATTACATCTCCAGATTTCTATATTCAGACTAAGTTGTGTTATCAAAAGTCTATAGCTGTTGTGTCTGTCAATCTGTTTCAGTCTCTACAACTCAGTTCCACTTAACTTCAACTAGAAAAGAAAAAGGCTTTAAGGGACTGTCTAAAATTAGGTTGGACAAATGGAAATTGAGTTAAGACTGGTTTTGAATCCTTATATAACTAAAGGACTGCCCATACTATTATTAGACCATGGGAAATAAAATTACATGCAGTAACAGTCCATCAATGGATATTTAGTTTCTTAGCTTGGAAAAATTTGATTAAACATTGAAAAGGCCTAACTTTATTCTCCACAGTTTTTTATTATGTTAATCAACATTGCACACATTATGACACCAGTATGCCCAAAAAGGCTTGCGAGAAATTTTATACATAATCCTCATGAAACATTCTAACTCAATATGCACCAATCTAAAATCTTGTTGTACCTTTTGATACCTGGGCCATAAAAGATCTCTTTTCCAAATATGTTCCACTTCATTTTGGCAATATTCACATATACTATTTTGCTTTTGTTTTTTTTTCTGAGAAAACTAAAACAATTTCAATTAAAGCAATGTTATTGTGGGGAGGGGGAAAGGAACCAAAATATTTTTTAAACTTAAATCTGTAAGATGCAACTCCTTCAGCCTGGAAAATCTATATATATATATATATATATATATATATATATATATATATATATATATATATATATATATATATATATATATATATATATATATATATATATATATATATATATATATATATATATATATATATATATATATATATATATATATATATATATATATATATATATATATATATATATATATATATATATATATATATATATATATATATATATATATATATATATATATATATATATATATATATATATATATATATATATATATATATATATATATATATATATATATATATATATATATATATATATATATATATATATATATATATATATATATATATATATATATATATATATATATATATATATATATATATATATATATATATATATATATATATATATATATATATATATATATATATATATATATATATATATATATATATATATATATATATATATATATATATATATATATATATATATATATATATATATATATATATATATATATATATATATATATATATATATATATATATATATATATATATATATATATATATATATATATATATATATATATATATATATATATATATATATATATATATATATATATATATATATATATATATATATATATATATATATATATATATATATATATATATATATATATATATATATATATATATATATATATATATATATATATATATATATATATATATATATATATATATATATATATATATATATATATATATATATATATATATATATATATATATATATATATATATATATATATATATATATATATATATATATATATATATATATATATATATATATATATATATATATATATATATATATATATATATATATATATATATATATATATATATATATATATATATATATATATATATATATATATATATATATATATATATATATATATATATATATATATATATATATATATATATATATATATATATATATATATATATATATATATATATATATATATATATATATATATATATATATATATATATATATATATATATATATATATATATATATATATATATATATATATATATATATATATATATATATATATATATATATATATATATATATATATATATATATATATATATATATATATATATATATATATATATATATATATATATATATATATATATATATATATATATATATATATATATATATATATATATATATATATATATATATATATATATATATATATATATATATATATATATATATATATATATATATATATATATATATATATATATATATATATATATATATATATATATATATATATATATATATATATATATATATATATATATATATATATATATATATATATATATATATATATATATATATATATATATATATATATATATATATATATATATATATATATATATATATATATATTTATCCTCTCTTTCCTAGGATAGTCCCTTAAACCTGAAACTCTTAATAAACTTTTATAAAGACAATTAGACCTGAACAAGAAGCTCATCAACTCTAATTTCAATGAGCATACAAATGTGAATAGATACAAGTAGCTTCCTGTCTCTGAATATCCAACTTAGTTTAAGAATTGTGTTTAGGAGATATGGTCTTCCTTCAGCTCCCTCTTACCTCGTACACAACCTTCCTCATCAGTATAGTCTGGACAGTCATAACGACCATCACATCGTTCTTGCTGAGGAATGCAAGTTCCGTCCCTACAAGTCCATTCCAAATAACCACATGCTAAGCAGAAGCAAATGTTAGGCATGCATTAAGTTTCTGAGAGTCTGTATTAAATTCACAAGTAGGTTGTATTACCTAGAGTCTGTAGTAGTTGTCTATGTCTTTGTGTCTGTTCTTGTTAAAAGCTAAGAAAGGGATTGGTTACCTGGAACACTGAATTACTCAGGCAATACTTGGGCGACATGATTGTGAACCTTCATGTTACACCACACAGATCTTCTTGGATGGTAAAAGTAATGCCACAATATTAATCATTGAAATATATGTACTGAAAATATATATGTGAGAGAGAGAATGTGTGTGTGTGTGTGTGTGTGTGTGTGTGTGTGTGTGTGTGTGTGTGTGTGTGTGTGTGTGTGTGTGTGTGTGTGTGTGTGTGTATGTGTGTGTACATGTGTGTGTACATGTGTGTGTACATGTGTGTGTGTGTATGCGTGTGTGCATGCGTGTGCGTGTTCGGGTTCGTGTGCGTGTGCGTGTGCGTGTTCGGGTTCATGTGTGTGTGCATGTGCATGTTCGGGTTCGTGTGCGTGTGCATGTATGTGTGTGAGTATTGTGTTTAGCATGACTATTTACATAAAGAATGTTGGTAAAAATAGTTGTTACTTTTGAAGCACTAACTTCAGTGAGATTTTGTTATGAATTAGTACTCAACTCAAAAGATTATTGCTCATGTTAGACAAATTATATCATATGATATCATGAAAACACTGTAGAAACTAAAAGTATCATAAAAATGTCATGCAAAACCAGGGAACAGTAAGGAGAAAAAAAAAGAAAGAATAAAAAGAGACAAACCGGGTGTAGATGGGCAGTTCTCTTCATCAGAGCCATCAAGGCAGTGTGGTGTTCTGTCACAGTGCTGAGAGGCAGGAATACAGTCCCCATTCCTACAAGTCCACTCGCCAGGACTGCATTCTATGTTACAAGGACAGATTTGCGTGTCTCAGTGGTGCCTAGCCTTCCATCATTAAGAGATAGGTCTTTGTTGTGTGTGTGTCATGCAGAATATCAAGAACACACAGATACTACAAAGGTATACTTACTAATATGAAGAAAAACTTAAAAAGGTAGTATATTAATAAGTTTATGAATATCATTTCTTGTGTGTGTCATGCAGAATATAAAGAACACACAAATACTATAAAGGTATACTTACAAATATGAAGAAAAATTTATATGGTAGTATACTAATTGGTTTTAGGAATATCAAACTAAATAAAAAAAAAAGTTCTGACTAACAGTCAAATTCCTTTAAAATCACAGTATTAGAAAAACATAAACTATATGATGTACAAAATAAGTACTCAAAGGATATTCCCATGAATATACAACCTCACCTCTTGGACACCCTTCTTCGTCACTATAGTCTCGGCAGTCATACTGTCCATTACAACGGCCTTCTTGGGGTATGCAAGTTCCATCACCACAAGTCCACTGCGTTGAATCACATGCTACACAAACATAAAAATTCATGCACAAATCAAGAAGGGTTTTCTGTCACAAGATAACCTTACATTTAGTATCACTTATAGATAATTAAGAAGCTTTCTATTACACCCAAAAGGTTACTTTCTGAAGACTATTGAAGATTCATGCCAAGTTAATACATGAAGAAACTATACTCTAATACTAGGATGCAAACCAAGTAAAACAATGTCTTCCCAATTTAAAGGACTAAAATTCTAGATGCAAGTGTAAAAGTTGCATGATCCTTAACCTACAACTAACTTTGGCTATATGAATGGTAGAGAAATGTGTATGTTGTATAGTTTGTGTTCGATTTTCTTTTCTTTTCTTTTTTTTTAATAAAAGGAAAATCACATGATGCTACTTACTGTTCATGTCCCTTATGAAACCTTAACTTCACAAAACAGAAATAAATCAAGGAACAGATATGTTACACTCACTCAACCACAACAAGAAGAATCATAATCAGACAATAACAACAAATAACATCCTTTAAAAAAGTTTACAGTCAGATTTGCTTCCGACAAAACCATCTGCAAAATCAAATTCTACACTTGTAAAAAATAAAGAAAAACAAAGGCAACACTTTATTCAGCATAAAAATTCAATGTAACTCTTCAACCTTCTTACTCTTTTTTTAATGTTTTTACAAACATATAATCTAGAATAATAACATAAGCAGACTTGCACTCTCATAGTACTAATTCATTTGTTATAACATATTAACAATGAATTAATGATAATCAGTGATTTACAATTGCATTACCATAAGTTTCTGCTCTCTTTCCTTAGGGTCTTAAGTAAGTGTGTGTAGATGTAGAGTATGTATGTCTGTATGTATATATATGTGTGTGTGTGTGTGTGTGTGTGTGTGTGTGTGTGTGTGTGTGTGTGTGTGTGTGTGTGTGTGTGTGTGTGTGTGTGTGTGTGTCTGTGGGTGTGGGTGGGTGTGGGTGGGTGTGGGTGGGTGTGGGTAGTGTGTGTGTGTGCGTGTGTGTGTGTGTGTGCATGTGTGTGCGTGTGTGTGTGTAAAATCAAATCCACATTTAACAGCACCACTACATCCAAAACAAAACATCATATTTATAAAGTAATACCCCACAAATACTTAAAAAGGAAACAAACCAGGCATACAGAGAAGAGTATCATTTAATATATCAATGAAGGTATCTAACTGTATCATTTTTTAACAAACCAGGTATGCAGTTCTCTTCGTCTGAGCGGTCAATGCACTGAGGTGTTCTGTCACATCTCTGATATCCTGGGATACAATCACCGTTCCTGCAAGTCCACTCATCAGGACCACATGCTATGTGATATAGATGAAAACACATCCGTGTGAACAGTGCAGTTTTTTAAAATTTCCCATTTGAGCCAACACACTTAAAACAATAATGTAACTAAAACACAGTGTCTACTTTGGGTGTATATATGAAAATAATAAGTATTTCAATATTATAATGCCATAAACCTTTTTTTCTGAGCTAAAATTGCTTACCTACAAAAAACATATATCTATACCCAATGATTTGTTGCTAACACTCAGCAACAAACCATTTACCACAAATTACAGAGAAAACCAACCAGGTACGCAGTTCTCTTCATCTGAACGATCAGGGCATTGAGGCACTCCATCACAACGCTGATAGCCTGGGATACAGTCACTATTCCAGCAAGTCCATTCATCCGGGTGACAAGCTATGTGACAAGGATGGAGGTATACCTTTGTGAACAGCATGATTTCAGATGGATAGAACTAAAATGTAGTCTCAGTGAGTGCTGTATCAGCCAGTGCATTTCCACATTCTGATACAATATATATTCTGATGAGGTTGCTAGAATGAAATGCATCATCAGCAATTTATAGAAGGCTGAGCTTTCCTTCCTCATGAATCTAATAATTCACACAACCATCTCTATGACCAATTACTTGTTCTGCTCCCACAGAAAAATGTTCATATACATAGCACAAACTCAAAAAGTCTTAAATCTACAGTACTATATAAATACTCACTTCACCAATTTTCAAGATACAGAATTCACTCATATATTCAAAGCACTGTCATTTGCAAAATGTTTATGTTTTTTGTATATTTGGATATTACTTTATATTTAAGCAGTTTTATTAAGTGCAATATAATCCTTTTAGATTATGGAATTATCACAAACAAAACACACAAAAAAACAGTCTTTTGAATCCTCTAGTTTACAATCCCAATTTATTTTATCTAGCCCAAATCCTTTCCCCAATTACAGCAAAAAAGTTCATACACTGTTTGTTCTTCTCCTACTGGTGTATAAAGGCCCACTAATGATTAATCTATCTGCAACACAATCTACCTGCAGAGCTTAAAACAGTAACAAAAAATAAATAGATACACAGTTAAACATTAATACTTGTTAATGTGAATGTTAGGTTATTTAGTAGATACTACAGCAGTCTCTTGGTTTGAAAATGAGGATAAAAGAATTATAATACAACAATTTTTTTTTTTGGTCATAAAAAGCATTAGCTTTTTGTAATTTGTATTGTAAAAATGCTTCTGTGTTTAAATTAATTACACATACGCATAACACTGTTCTTAACCAGTAAATGAAATGCTGGCTTCCCTTTTGATGCTGGAAAGGTCCTCAATTTCAAGCCATGAAAATCTATCCTTCCCTTTCAATACTCATGAAAGAGTATGGGATCAAACTACAAAAACATATCTTAATAATACTTAGCAATATCGTCTAGTGGCATATCTGCACCTCAAAGCATGCTTACCTCTACAGTCAAGTTCATCTGTGTAGTCTCGGCAGTCATCTCGACCGTCACATCTTGCCTCTATTGGTATGCATGAGAGATCTCCACACATCCACTCCAATGGACCACACGCTACATGCAAATAAGCATTACATGCAAACAAGCATTACATGCAAATACTATTTTCAAGGTTTATAATTGTGCTAGTAAACAAAGTAAAAATAATTTGATGTAAATCTACTAATAAAATGTGTCTCAGCCAGAAAATTTGTAAGATGGATATTGTATACTTCATATATGTCAGAGGGATTTTTATACCTACGAAAAGAGGAATATTATTAAAGCTAATTATGCAAATATAAAAAGTATTCTTCTGATCTAAGACCTAAACAAACATGTTCTATGATTCTTTTGATTAATCTTTTCCAAATTCTGCATGGGGGATAATAGAATTTTTTGCTACAGCCATTATTTTAGTTTATATCTTTTAAATATTATCAATGGATAAAGGAAATGTAATTTAATAATGATATACTACTCACAATAAATATCCCAAGTTCACAATTTCTTTTATCCAAAAAGAGGAGAATTTATAATTTATACATGGCCTTTTGTATGAATAATACATGTTCTTCTATGACTCCCATCAATGTACAAATCAAATCAATTGTGGTTCAACTATTCTATCTGTCCTGCAATACCTTCCCTGACAGGATCCCCTTACCTGCACAGTTCTCTTCATCACTATAATCTGGGCAGTCAAAGCCTCCATTACACCTTGCTGTACTTGGTATGCATGAGAGATCTCCACACATCCACTCCAATGGACCACACGCTACATGCAAATAAGCATTACATGCAAACAAGCATTACATGCAAACAAGCATTACATGCAAACAAGCATTACATGCAAACAAGCATTACATGCAAACAAGCATTACATGCAAACAAGCATTACATGCAAACAAGCATTACATGCAAACAAGCATTACATGCAAACAAGCATTACATGCAAATAAGCATTACATGCAAACAAGCATTACATGCAAATACTATTTTCAAGGTTTATAATTTGTGTTAGTAAACAAAGTAAAAATAATTTGATGTAAATCTACTAATAAAATGTTTCTCAGCCAGAAAATTTGTAAGATGGATATTGTATACTTCATATATGTCAGAGGGATTTTTATACCTTCTAAAAGTGGAATATTATTAAAGCTAATTATGCAAATATAAAAAGTTTTCTTCTGATCTAAGACCTAAACAAACATGTTCTATGATTCTTTGGATTAATCTTTTCCAAATTCTGCATGGGGGATAATAGAATTTTTTGCTACAGCCATTATTTTAGTTTATATCTTTTAAATATTATCAATGGATAAAGGAAATGTAATTTAATAATGATATACTACTCACAATAAATATCCCAAGTTCACAATTTCTTTTATCCAAAAAGAGGAGAATTTATAATTTATACAGGGCCTTTTGTATGAATAATACATGTTCTTCTATGACTCCCATCAATGTACAAATCAAATCAATTGTGGTTCAACTATTCTATCTGTCCTGCAATATCTTCCCTGACAGGATCCCCTTACCTGCACAGTTCTCTTCATCACTATAATCTGGGCAGTCAAAGCCTCCATTACACCTTGCTGTACTTGGTATGCATGATCCATCCCCACAAGTCCATTCAGATGAACTGCATACTGCATGCAATGTAAACACCAGTGGCTAACAATACTATCAACTTACAATCAAATTATCAACATTTTTATGGCAACAAAAAGGGATAGAAATACAATTGTGAGCAGTAATAATACATATGGTCTATGAAAAAAAAATGCAGTGAAATTTCACAAACTATGCTGGAAACCTTTTACTACATGCATAAAAATAATCATGAAGTGTTTAATAATAAGCTACAGCAGGCATAATTGTTTTGGTTAGTAATCATAAATAAAAGCATTAGATCAACATTATAATACAGTATGCTTCACCATAGCCATTCCTTTTTCAAATAACATCTATGCCCTTTTATTAAAAGACTTTGAGTATCAGCTAACAAAACTGAAATGCAAGTTACATTTTTTGTTTAATCTTTACTCATTAAAAGTCTTACCTGAATCACAATTATCTTCATCACTGTAGTCAGGACAATCATATCTACCATCACACCTGTATTCATTTGGTATGCATGAACCACTGGCACAAGTCCATTGATCTGAACGACAAGCTGCAAGCAAAAAAAAAAAAAGAAAAGAAAAAAGAAAGAAACAAAAAACACATGCAATCATGCTATTAGTATGCCAGCGTGCATTCTAGCCCTTCACTCCTATATGTGGAAATTATGAGAAGTACAAATGTGAATGACAATTAGTATTTGTTTGTGATAAGCTAATTCATCTGCTCTGTTAATGTAATAAGGAGCATTCTTTCTGAGCGTTACTGACAAAACCTTACTTTCATTGGTTCTCCATTTCTGTGCATAATTTTCTCTTAGCTGCCAAATCTACCATCACATGTTTCTCCCACTGACACACAAGAACCAATTTTTCTAGCATATACAAAGAATATATTTATTCCTGTAATTGGGGCACTTTTACTTCAACCTATAAACTATAGTTACATTATATACATAAAATGAAACACCCCTCCTTGTGGTTAGGCTTAAATCACTCTCACAAGATATCTGTTTCCATTACATCAATTGAAGAAAAATAACAAAGGATTACCATTGCACTTAATACATAAATAACCTTTACGTTTTGGACACTACCAGAATGACATGTCAAATTGTTACAGTTTTTAAATAAATCTTAATTTTGCTTAAAAATTAATATTCATATTTCCAGTTCAATGAGGAAATAGCCACAGGGAAATAACTTCACTGGAGATAATTTCCCAATGAACATTGCTAGAAATAACTAATTTTACAATGGTTCTATTAACAGTACATCACAGTTCAATCCATATCAGGATCTTACCACTTTACATATATATATATATATATATATATATATATATATATATATATATATATATATATATATATATATATATATATATATATATATATATATATATATATATATATATATATATAAATATACATATACATATACATATACATATACATATATATATATATATATATATATATATATATATATATATATATATATATATATATATATATATATATATATATATATATATATAAATATATATATAAATATATATATATATATATATATATATATATATATATATCTATATATATATATACATATATGTTCATATTTATATGTTTATGTATTTTCAATTAGTATATATCAACTCTTATATATATATATATATATATATATATATATATATATATATATATATATATATATATATATATATATATAGTTACATAAAGTTTCAAGTACTGAGTGTAACACAAAGTACAGTTCAACAGGAATATCTTTTTCCTAAAGTTCCTGCTGAGACGTCTCCTGATGCCATTCTTGCTGAGTGAAGAACAAACAATACCGAGGGAATTTTCTACAGAACTGTTTCTTACATATTTTTTTTTTTTTTCAGAAATCCCTTCTGCTGTCTTGTGTTTGATCCTGGAGTATCCACTGCCTACTTACCTCACCGTACACATATGGACATGCATACACATATACGTACAATTAAACATCTCTATTATAAAAAAAAATGGGGGGGATTAAACGAGCTCATCATAACAATTTCTGCAAACAAAAGCGGTTTCGCAAAGTACTCACGGCAACCGGATTCATCAGACTGGTCCCTGCACTGCGCGAGGCCATCACATCGCTGGGAGATAGGAATGCAGTCTCCGTTCTTGCACCTGTATTCCCCAGCCTGACACATTTCACCAGCTGCAAGAGTGGGAGGTTTGTTATAACCGGTGTTCTGCGGAGTATGTCATGCTGCTGTGCTCAGAGGGAATTAATTATTGAAAAGAGTGAGGGTTGAATAAATGAAGGTGTGAAGGTTATACCCGTTGGTAATCAGCGTTAAATTTGATTGCATTTATAGTTTAATGAATCCCAAACATGCATCCGCGATTAAAATCATTGGTGAATTTTATATTTATGGTTCTAATGCATAAGTTTATTTGGTTATATCGGGAAAGAAATACCGTATATCCCTTAGAAGGTAAGACAGAGAGATATTGAAGGACTCCACTTTTTCTAGTCTTGCGCTACAAGTTGATCGTTCACCCTGTATAATAAAGCCCGGGATTTGAAGATTTACCTAATTACCATATGAACATAAAAACAAATCGTGATACCCAGGACAATATGATTAACAGACCTGGCAGTCTTTTAAGTCATAGATCGTGTCATGTGTCGTGCGTCATGATAACCAGAGATGCTGTCTTACTTTAGAAATATTTTTCAGAGAAACTACAGCATTGTTCTAGACCAGGGGTCTCAAACTCGCGGCCCGCGGGCCAAATGCGGCGCCCGGGACGATAATTTGCGGCCCGTCTTGATATTTAAGATTAATGTTAGTGCGACCCGCAAGATTGATATGAATAAAACTTGCTGTATGCGAAGCTGAACGAACCAATCACGGTGAGGTAAAAGGTTCTGAAGGGTGGTACAGGTCCAGACTTAGTGATGAGCATCTTCAAGCCCTACTCAGTCTCTCCACTGCTTCCTCTCTCAAGCCAAATGTGGCTCGGGTATGTGAAAAGAAGCCCTGCCAGGTCTCTGGCAGCAAGGAGTAGGCAACAGAAGCCATTTTTAAAGCAGTTAAAGGTTAAAGAACTGTTAATACAGACATTTGAAACTGAATTAAAATAATTAGTTTTCTCTGGTCAGCCAGTCAGTCAATATGTGGTTTCTTCAGTCGTCTGTATCTGCTGTATGAT